ATTCAATATAGTAAACAATATGTTCTAGGAATTAAAACAAAATTATCATTTCAGAAAAATAAATGTTAAATTATAATTTTATTATGTTTAAGGAAAGATAAAGATCATTTCAATATCTCATAACCACATTCAATACATTAGAAATTAATTGGATATAACTGTAAATGGAAAATGAATCACCATTTAAGGAAAATAAATGTTTGCAATACCATAATAATTAAGGAGAGAGTAAGATATTATTTTAATATCCTAATTCGGAACTTTTAATCTACTACTCAATTAAAAAGAAATTGCATTTAATAACATTAAAAAGTTATTAGTTTAATATTTTTTCTCATTCTACTAATTCAATCTCCAATGTTTATGCCGGAACGTGGCAATCGATTTGATAATTATGTCGGGATGTGGCAACCGATCCCAATTAATATACCGGAACGTGGTATTCGATCCAATCAACACACCACAATCACAATCACAAGTACATTCTCAATAATCATACAATCAAGAAGTGATTCATGACATATAGTTATTCATCTATCTCATTTACAACAATTGTGATCAACAATGCAACATTCACATACATATATGTACCATAATGAAGCAAGAACAAACATACATCACACAATCATAGATTCACAACAATCACCTACCTCGAAACAAGCTTGAAACCCTAAGAAACTTGATCCTTCCCTTTTCGCATTCGTTTCGCTTGTTCTTGGTCTACAAACAATCATAATAACACGGGAATCAATAAACAATCACTAATTACCCGAATCGTTGACAATTCTATGAACCCTAGATCATATCCATGATCCCAAGCATCAAAATAGGGTTGTTACCATCATAGAATCTAGATCAAAACCCTCCCCCATCGATAATTATCCATTATATAGCGTTCTACGGATCAAAAAATGAATTCGGGGAGTGAAAAACTTACCTTTAGCCTCAAGAATAGTGAAAAATGAGTAGGAGTCTCCTGGGGTTCGAACCTTAGCTCTAAAAATCGAAAAGTGCAAAATAAGGTCGTTTAGGGATTTATTAACCATCTTAAGTCGCGTCGAGCCCGCCACAACGTCCCTCACCCAGCTATAGCGGCCCCGCCAGAGCGACCAAAAGCACCTCCAGCGCGGCTTGCACTAACCAGTGAGCTATTTAAAGAATTCCAAAATCCCCATTTCTCAACACACCTCTAACCCACGACGCTAAATAAAATACCCTTCACGCTAAGATCGATTCCGGGAGTTCTACTCGCCTGAATTCAATTTTGTAAAGTCGTACGGATTTCTTTACGAGTTATCTATCCACCCATGTAATCATAATCATAAATAAATCACCCGACTGTTACCAAATTTTCCTACACCTTAATGACTCCGATTTTGTCCAAATATGAATTAGGTTGGGAAAATCCAAATATTACGGAAAAAAAATTCTGTCCCAAATTTTCCCCGTTGGCATTTCTTCTTTAGAAACTACAAAAATAAGTAAAAAAAAAAAGAGAATCTTAAGTAACCACAAAGAGAAGCAAAAGAGGAAAAAATCACATCATTTTCTAAATTTTTTTTCATAATTTGTCTCATCTAGAATCCAAAAAAATAATATTAAAAATATAATTACAATAGAAAAAGTGATAATTATAAGTATTAGACATGTCAAAACCAAACCATGCAAGGATGTCTAACATTAATATTCTCTAGAAACTACAAAGAGAAAAAAAAAACAAATTAATTTTTCTCAAAAAACCTCATGATTCGTATAATCAAGAATAAAAAAACTAAATATATAATTACAGTAAAAAAAAGTGATAATTATATTATGCATGTCCAAACATTTTACCTCGTAAAATCCAATTATGTAAAACATTCTTTAGTATACATATCTCTCCTGCAAAATAAGATCAAAGAAGACAAAAAATGACCAACCAAAGTAACACAAAATGAAGAATAAGAAAAATGAAATTAAAATAATATCATACATATCTCAAGATAAGTGTTTATAAGTGTCATTTTAAGGAGTTGTAGATATTACTAAATTAATTAAGATTTAAATTTATGTAATTGAAGAGGTATGAATTTGGAAGATGATTTTATAAAATAAAATAATTTAGACAAATTAGAAAAAATGTCAAAAATCCACCAAAAAAATAAATAAGGTCCTTGGTCATTGAGAGGTGTCACATCACTTCTTTCTATATATATATATGATTGTTTAGGGCCTATTTGGAAGGACAACCTGGTAATTGGATTTGGTGTAATTGATGTAATTACATTGTCTTGTCCTGTTTGGAAGGACAGGTAATTACTTGGTCAGCATGTAATTGGTGTAATTGACAGGGGGTAATTACACTCTACAATTCACAGGCAGAGACTGTGAATTGCTGGTAATTACATGGTGTAATTACCACCTGATTACTTTTTCATTTTTTTTAATTTCTATTTTTATTTTTTTTGTTTTAATTTTTTTTACTTCTATTATTTTAATTTCTTTTTATTTTATTTTTCTAAAAATTTGTAAAAGTCTATTTTTTATTTTTTATTATTATATTTCATTTTATTTTGTTCTCAACCTTACTTTACGTGATTTTATGTAATTTTCTCATATTATCTATTTCTTTATGCCATGTTTATTTTCTCATTAGCATAATTTTATTAGTATTCTAATTTTTAAATTAAAATAAAATTTATTGTTAAGTAAGGCTATAGACTTATGTTTTCTTTATTATGAAGAAACAAAAATAAATCATATTTATTGCAATGTTGAAATTTGTTATAAGAGTATTATGTTAAATTTTTTGTTTTAAATTTATTACTTATGTTATATTTTTAGTTTCATTTGTTTTAGTAATATTGAATTTACATTGCACGTCATTTTTTAATTAGATTTGATAGATTATATTTTTGTCAAACATTTAATAATTTATGATATTTTATTTATATATTACTATTCTTTTTATCAAACATGCATTTCACAATATTCGTAGAAACTTCATACTTTTAGTTGTTACGATCAATTCAATTGAAATATATTAATTTGAAAAAATATAAATCAATTATTTTTTCATAATATTAGTTACGGTAAATATGTTTATTAATTAATATATTTTCAAAAAAGACTATATATTGTAAATATTTAATTTAATGTCATTTATAAAATTTCTTATTTGTCTAGTATAAATTTTAAATGATTAAGTTTTATTTTTAAAATTTATTATAATTTTATGATTGCAATTGTGCATCCAAACAGAACACGTGTAATTACACTGCGACATCCAAACATGACATGTGTAATTATATTGTGGCAACCAAACAAGTAGTATAATTACTAGACTGGTAATTACTATCCTAGTAATTACACCAATTTTAATTACTTGGTGGCTTTCCAAACAAACCATTAATTAGACATTAAGTTCAAACCTAAAAATTGTCATATTGTTTTAAAACAAATTAAAATGAGAAAAACGACAAGAAGAAGAAGAAAGAAAGACGGTAGGAACTTAGATGAAATGTCATGTGTTATTTTAGTTTAAGTGGAAACACTTGTCTTCATTATTTCTTTCATACTTGTCTCTCTCTCTCTGCTCATCTGGGTCCCTTTAGTTTCTCTGCCAGCAACCGTCTCTTCTATAGTTTTTTTTTTTTTAATTGTAGCGGAGAACGGTACAAATTATCCCTGAATTTTTGTTTAACGATTAGTTTTATCCTTCGTTATATTAAGTGATTGTCAATAATTTTACCACCCATATCCTTTAGGATGGAAAACCCATGTTTTTTTCTCGTTTGAATTTAGCGGCAACACTTTTTTAGTACTTGATTTGATATCAACTATATATTCATTTACCATTAATTGGGGTTCATAGATAGTGACGGAGCTAGACAAAGGGTGTCCCAAAGTAGCACAACAAAAGTTCTTTTCAAAAAGTAGAACTAGTGAGATTCGAATAGATGAGCACTTCCTCATTCTAAAGAGGTGAAATCATTGGGCTATAACAGTTTATTATGTTAAGGGTGTCTAAAATATATTATTTAATCATTTCGTGTATCATTTTACCTGTATATATGATATTTTTTTTCGACGATTTGAATACCCTGACTACCATGTGGCTACGCTACTGTTCATAGATAACAAATTTAGTGCCCTATAATTTTCAGATCGAAAGAAAGAAGAAAAAAAAGGAGAAAAGAAGGAGAGGAGAGGGGAGGATGGCGCCGTGGTGGTTGTACTTTTTTATATTTATTAAATATGTAAATTTTATTTCAAAAATTAAAGAATTTATATCTGAAATCAAACTAAGCATTAGTTAGTGATTTGACAGTTGTACACCAAATCATAAACATTTTTGTTCAAACCTATGAACAATTTTATTTGGCAATAACAAAAGTACTCCCTCTAGTCCATATCAAACAAATTATTGAGACAGTTCAAAATAGTTGAATTATTTAAAGTCTATTAGAATTGTTGAGACATTTTTTTTTATATTTACCCTTCATTTAATGAGCTTCTTATCTACTTATATTTTTTAGGTGAAAAGTTTAAGAATAATCACAAGAATAATAATGGAAAATAGTCTTTAATTTGTGTTTTTAAATATTTTTCATAAAAAATATGGCATACTTTTACAATTCACTTAATATGAATTTGAGAAAATATTTACGGTCCATATAATCTCCTAATTAATAGAGTAGAAAAGTTGCCTAAGTTGGGTACACCTAAAGTAATTGAGCTAAACTAAGTAGCATAGAAGAAAAATTACTAGTCTATTACTAGGAATTAATGTGAATTAACAAGTAACAAACCAGAATAATCCTATTGATATTTAAAATTCTTATTTGTATCAAGTAAATTATAACATAGGAAATAATATATATAAAATGTACTTGAATTAAATTTTTTTCAAAGGGATAAGCTTGCGGAGAAGAAAGCTCAATCCTCATGCCTCTCCCAAAGAAAAAAAACAAAAGAGAGCATACCCCCAACACACATATACTTAAAAGAGACAAGGGGAGCCTTTTTTTTCTTCTATCTAATTGTAAGTGAAGAGAAATGGAATTTCCCATCCTTGTCTTCTTCATCTCACTATTTTTCACTTGGCTCTTCATCAAACTAACTAAATCCACGAAGAAGCTGCTACCACCTGGTCCTACTGGCCTTCCAATAATCGGCTCACTCCTCCAACTCGGCTCAAAACCCAACCAATCACTAGCCGAGCTAGCCAAAATCCACGGCCCTCTCATGACTCTAAAACTCGGCTCGATCACCACCGTTATAGCTTCCTCCCCCGAAACAGCCAAAGAAATCCTCCAAAAACATGACAAAACGTTATCGGCCCGCGCGGTTCCCGATGCAGTCACATCCCAACCTAATCCAGAAGCCACGTTGGCATGGGTTCAGTCCGACAACATGTGGAGGAACAAAAGAAGAATATTGAACACGCAAATGTTCACTAATCAAAAACTCGATTCGCTACAAGAGCTACGCCACAAAAAAGCTGAACAACTCGTGTGTCATATACGAAAACTATGTGAAAATGGCTCCTCCGTGGATATAGGACGCGTGGCGTTTGCGACCATGCTGAATTTAGTGTCGCGCACTATTTTCTCGATTGATTTGGTAGATCCGGAATCTGACATGGCTCAAGAGTTTAAGGATTTGGTTTGGACAATCAATGAATATGCTGGTAAGCCTAATTTGTCTGATTATTTTCCGGTTCTAAAGTGGTTAGATTTGCAAGGGGTGAGGCGTCATGTAAGACCAGCGTACATAAGGTTGCATCAGATATTTGATCAACTTATTGAGAAGAGATTAGGTGATAGAGCGTCTACTCGGAAGATGAAGGTAGCTGGAGATTTTTTGGATGTACTACTTGATCAATGTGAAGATAAAGGGTCCGGATTTGATCGCAAAACTATCAAGCCAATTATCGTCGTAAGTGTTTGTTACAGATAATTAAAATTCCTTATAAGAAGATTCATTTATTTAAATTACATATTGTAGATCATGTAGTTTAACCTGTAATAGTAGATTAAGTATCATAAGACACATAATTTTTACCATGGTACGGTCAATTGACCTAATTGATAACTGTTAAATTAGGTCTTAGGCCTAACTCACACCCCAAAAGCTAGCTCAAAGGGAGGAGGATTGTCCAAGCCTTATAAGGAGTCCACCCATTTCATTAACCACCGATGTGGGACTTTTGTCATTCTTTAACAATAACATATCACTTGTGTCCCACAAATTCTCCTCCTAGATAAAATACTCAGACCCCTAGGCTACATTGTGAATGTTGATTAAGTTAGAAGGAATGAACTTCTATTTATAGAATCCTGAACCTTTTTCTACAAGAAAAAAAGATTAGTCAAATATAAAGACTTTATGTTTTCCTTTTAAGAAAATGAAAATCTATTTAGGATAAGAAACTCAGATAGATACCCAACACTTACTACATCTGTGTGCTATTGACAGGATTTATTCGTTGCTGGAAGTGATACTGTTAAATTAGGTCTTAGGCCTAACTCACACCCCAAAAGCTAGCTCAAAGGGAGGAGGATTGCCCAAGCCTTATAAGGAGTCCACCCATCTCATTAACCACCGATGTGGGACTTTTGTCATTCTTTAACACCCCACCTCACGCCCAGTGCTTAGCATCTGGTGCGTGGGCATTTTGATTTTGGGGGTCCCAACATCGGGTGAGACGGGCCCTGCTCTGATACCATGTTAAATTAGGTCTTAGGCCTAACTCACACCCCAAAAGCTAGCTCAAAGGGAGGAGGATTGCCCAAGCCTTATAAGGAGTCCACCCATCTCATTAACCACCGATGTGGGACTTTTGTCATTCTTTAACACCCCACCTCACGCCCAGTGCTTAGCATCTGGTGCGTGGGCATTTTGATTTTGGGGGTCCCAACATCGGGTGAGACGGGCCCTGCTCTGATACCATGTTAAATTAGGTCTTATTTTCATCAGGCTCCACCATGTCATCAACCACAATGTTTGGGTATTGGGTCAAAACATCAAGGATGGTAAGCATATTCTGCAAACACTTTTTCCACACATTTATAGGCATGTGTCCACTGAGACCTGGATTAATATCAAACTGGGCAGACACAACACCAAACAGAATTTCAAGCTTCTGTGCTGGTGTTAAAGAATGACAAAAGTCCCACATCGGTGGTTAATGAGATGGGTGGACTCCTTATAAGGCTTGGGCAATCCTCCTCCCTTTGAGCTAGCTTTTGGGGTGTGAGTTAGGCCTAAGACCTAATTTAACAGATACATCGGCCATAACAACAGAATGGGCAATGGCAGAACTTCTCCGAAAACCTGAAGAACTCAACAAAGTACGACAAGAAATTATCCAACAAATAGGCACAGAAAGGGCAGTTAAAGAATCAGACATGGACAAACTCCCATACCTTCAAGCAGTCGTAAAAGAAACCATGAGACTTCATCCAGCAGGTCCATTACTCTTACCTCATAAAGCCCCACACGATGTAGAAGTGTTGAGCTTTACCGTGCCTAAGGACAGTCAGATTTTCGTGAATGCTTGGGCTATTGGAAGAGACCCCAAGTATTGGGAAAAGCCACTAGAGTTTCTGCCTCTAAGATTCATGGAATCTAGTGTGGATTACAAAGGAAGAGACTTTGAGTATATACCGTTTGGCGCAGGGAGGAGGATTTGTCCAGGAATGCCGTTGGCTATAAGAATGGTGAATTTGATGTTGGCTTCTATTATTCAACCATTTAATTGGAAGTTACCAAAAGGGATGACACCAGAGAATTTGGATATGGAGGAACAGTTTGGAGTTACCTTAAAGAAGGCTATTCCTCTTGTTGCAATTCCTTGAATGAAAGAAAATAAGGTTATATTTTAAGTCTTTATGTTTTATGAGTTTCGCTAGAAGTATATTTATGTTATTATGTAAGAAGTAATAAATTTTAATGCACTACAAGCTCATGTATCAACATTTTTATGGCTACTCATTAGTTAGGAAGGGGGTGTGATTTGCTTAATTTTGTAGAAGATTTTTTTATTGTTAACTTGCTTCAGTTTTTCTAAAATGAGAAAAATAAGAGTATTGTCTGAAAATTTTATCAGGATCTTTTGGGGCCAGAATGACTCTGGATCTGACTTGTTGTTGGGCTTAATCAGGGATATTTTCGGTGAAACCTAGGTAATTAATCATTTTTTTTAAAGAGGAAATTTCAAATTTTCAATTTGCTATTTAGAATGAATATACCTCATTGCGCTTCATATATATCTTTGTCATTACACAAATGACTCATATATACTATATTTTCGGCTAACAAGTGTGAAACAATTGATTTTGAATTTATTATTTAGACTTTTCCATTAAAATAGAATTCATATTAGGGTATAATTTTTACCCTTCTTGAAAAGTTCATGGTAATTTTGATCCCTTCATTTTAATTTTATTTTTTTAATTTGACTTAACATGAAATTTAAGTAAATAAAGAAGATTTTTGAATTTATTGTTTTAATTAATTAAGGATATGTAGAATGTTACAATATTTTTAAATTTTGTAGTCTTAAATATGTTAGAAAAATGAAATTTAAAAATTATCAAAAAGAAAAGAAATATTTGTTTTTGAAACCAATTTATAGTTAATTAGGTAATCGTTTTCAAGCCAGAAAATATTGAAAACGAGGAGTACTATGTTTGACATTTGAACATTTGGAAAAATTGTATTATATATTCTCATTCAGTGTCCCTTGAATAGTATCCACAGTGGGGTATTCTCATCTTAGTCGTCTTTTAAACTCTTTTCTACTTATTTTATTTTAAATATATTATAATTTTATTTTTTAAAACTTTATAACTATACAGATATTAAACAATAAATTTTGACACTACACTAAAAATTATTTTTAGCGGTAATTAATTAACGATAATAACTTAATTGCAACTAAATATGTTCTTTTAGTAGCAATAACACTCTTTATAAATGTTCCTAAAATCTTTAGCGATGATCTAATGACAATTAACTAGTTAATGCTAGTAAAGTCTTTTATCACTCTTTGTTAATATGCATATTTATTGTGGCTAAAAATTATTTTTATGTTAGCGGGAGAGCATAAGTAAACATAAAATCAAGTTTATTGATGCAAAAATCAAATTTCTCTTTCGATAGAACAATTAAGTAGACTAGGGCAATGTCCAAAAGTTCCTTATTAATTTCAAGTTTCTTGCTTCCAAATTTAAAAAAAAAAAAACAAATGAGCCAAACACTTCTCACAATCACATTAATAAGGTAAAGAAAAACAATTGCAAATTAAATAAATCAGGCATAAATTAAAAGAAAATTATTTTTATTTTATACTAGGAACTGCAACAAGAGGAACAGCTTTCCTTAAGCTAACTCCAAATTGTTCCTCCATGTTCAATTTCTCCGGATCCATTCCATCAGGTAAGTTCCAATTAAATGGTTGAATAATAGAAGCCAACATCAAATTCACCATTCTTATAGCCAGTGGAATTCCAGGACAAATCCTCCTTCCTGCGCCAAATGGAATAAACTCAAAATCCCTACCTTTATAATCCACGTTAGATTCTATGAATCTTTGAGGCAGAAACTCTAGTGCCCTTTCCCATGACTTTGGATCTCTTCCAATTGCCCATGCATTCACGAAAACTTGACTGTCCTTAGGCACGTTGAAGCCTAATACTTGTACGTCGTTTTGGGCTTTGTGTGGTAAGAGTAAAGAAACTGCTGGATGAAGTCTCATGGTTTCTTTTACGACTGCTTGAAGATATATATGGGAGTTTGTCCATGTCTGATTCTTTAACTGCTCTTTCTAGCCCTATTTGTTCGATTATTTCTTGTCGTACTTTGTTGAGTTCTTCAGGTTTTCGAAGAAGTTCTGCCATTGCCCATTCTGTTGTTATGGCTGATGTATCACTTCCGGCAATGAATAAATCCTGTCATGCCACAAACGATATTGTTTCAATTGTTAGTTCTTTCTGAAGAATAATTGATGTATTTCAAAATAATTAATTTTATACTTTTTGTTTTAATGTCACAAGTACTATTCATAATTGGTTTATGAGTATTTGATTCAAATTATATAAATTTAGTATATATCCTTGGAAAGAAATAAGCTTACTATGATAATTTGTTCCATTCCCAAAGTACCACTAGTTAGATAATAAAATCATTTGATTAATCTGGAATTCTAATTAGATTGCAACTTGCATTTCTTAATTATTTATTCTTAATATATCATAATTTACTTTCCATTTTCCAGGCAGTTGGGAAGCAGTTTGACCCCTACTCCTGTTGTTTTTGTATTTTCTTTAGTGATTCGTAAAAATGACACACCTAATATATCTAAAATATAAGTGCACCTGCTAACCATCGTGGAACCTAGGGCCGGCTGCTCTCTTCTCTTCTGCGAACTATGTCGCCTTGAAGTAAATTCATGATAGCTGCATCCTCTCCCCAGCCTATGGTTGTGGGAGAGCCAAACACTAGTTCTAATCCAGAAGCAACTTATGCCGCACGTTTAAATTTAATCCAAACCGGACAAAACTTGAAAAAACACAAAGCTGAAATCTATAGATATCATTCATGGAGAACCTACAATTACATTCACAGAGGAAGAGATAAATCAACACACTATGGAAGAAGGTCTACATCAAGCTCTAGTATTCAAGTTTTCACACGATCCAATTAATATGCAAGATTTACGAAAGTTGTTGCCTATACAACTAGGAACTCAAGGTCGCTGCCTTGTCGGATGGCTTGCGCATCGACATATTTTGGTGAGATTCGATAGATATGATGACTATGTATTAGTTGCGGCTAAAACTGTCAATGGTTTACAAAAGCAATTTAGAGTATTTCCATGGACAATTGGCTTCAATCCGAAAGAAGAGCCATCAAGAGCTTTTGTTTGGATATCTTTTCCAAACTTGCCGCCAGAGCTTTTTGCAAAACAATCCTTAATTACTGTCAATTGCCTCGGCTGCTGGTAAGCCAATAGTTGTTGATAAAGCCACTCAAGATAAGTCGAGACCTAGCACGGCTAGAGTTAAAGTCGAATTTGATTTACTAGTGAATTTGCCACATCGAATGAGAATTCAATATGTCGATGAGAAAACAGGAAAAAGTGTGGAGCAATTTCAGAAGTTTAATCTGCCGTTTTATTGCAACTATTGTAAGCACCAAGGCCACAACGAAAGTGAATGTCGACTATTATTGGGAAATAATGCAGGAAGAAACCAAGAAGAAGCATCGAAAGTAGGATCTGAGATTAAAAAATATCATGGTGATGCTCGGGAGATATTAGATGAAAAGAGGGCTGGAAATAAATCCCTCGTGGTTGATAAAAGTGGTGCCCACGATCAGGTAGTTGAGCCACGAAATTTGGAGTGTCAAACTAAAGAACATTCTGGACAGCTCTTAGGCAGAGCAGTTGCGCACGAATCGGCTTCAGGGGATCAAAGTTTAACCACTCGAAAAACTTTGGTCCTAGAGTCGCAAGTTGATTTTGGGCAGCAATTAAATAGCAACACTGTTGATGATGCGAGACTTGGCATTATAGATACCGTAGAAAAAAGCATTAATAACGAAAGTGGAAAAAATGGTTTTCTGCAGATTGATTCTAAGATTGTTGATGATGTCCATTCATCAGGGAATAAAGTTGGAGCTACTGAAACATTGGAGAAAAAATTGAATGAAAATCAACTTTCTTTGATACAAATTCCACTCTAGCTCACATTGATGATGGGGACCAAAATAATGCAGCTGCAATAGTGGCATCGACGATAGATGATGAGCAATAACTAAATGGAACCAGAGGTGACGTGGGGCTTTTTGAAAAGTCAGGACATCCTTTGGTAATTAACGCAACCATTGAGTTGGCATTAGATCCCAAGAGTGCGAAGGTAGTGGCAGATGGAGTGAAGCATGATGCTTGGGGTGTTGAAAGTGTTGAATGCTTGGTTGACAACATGTCACAGCAGGTCAACAGTGCCAATAAAAAAATTGAAAGTGATGTCGGAACTAATTCAATCGCCTTGATGAATGCCAAGAATACAGGTAAAGGAGTGGAACTGGTACATGAATCTAATTGGGCTGTGGTGACGAAGAAAAAATCTCCAAAGTATTGTAATTGGTTCGCCTATTCGTAACACAGTGCAACCGGTTGTAGATAGTCAAATTAAACTATGAATTCAGGTGCTCGAGAAATTGTTCCAAAGGAGATCTTGTGTTTTAACACTTTTGATGCTCTTACGAATAATATTGTGCATGAGATTAATTCATTTCAAGTTAACTTTACAAATGAATTAGTTATTTCTAAGGAACAACAGGGTGCGACAAGTACTCCGAGGTGGGCAGATATAGCAGATGAAGAGGAAGAACAAGTCAATTCCCCTCTTATGCAAAAGAAATTGAGCTCAACAACCCCTGCTTTTGTGTCTAGTGGTGCCAAGTTAGTAACTCCCCGACAAGGTTTGTCATCATCAACAAATGTTGTTGCAATCTTAAGTGATCATTTGGTGAGTTCTAATAATAAAAAAATGGTTCTCTTACACCTATTAACACTAACAAACAACTACAATTTGGTGTTAGTAGTACTTTGTCCCCAAATAAATTTGCTAATCTAGATGATGAGGACATCTGTAAGGAAGGTGAGGAAGAGGAAGAGGAAATGTTGGATTATTGTTTTGCAATTGCAGCTAGGAGTGCTGATATTTCTCCTAGGCAACAACAAAACGAAGCATGGAAGAAAACATAGTTGGGATGATAAAGTGAATGAGGAGTTTGTTTTAAGGCACCTACCGATACGACTGGCGAAACAGAATCATATGATAGTATCAACAACTTTAACAAGATCCAATACAACCAAGAAGTGATGAACTATCAAGTGTTATTGGACAGATTTGAAGAAGAAGACAAGAGAAACATACTTCAAGTTCCTTTAGAAGGCCATTCTATCTTTTTTAGTTTATACATTTGTAATAGAAAATTTGTGGTTGATAACTCAACTTTCTCCTTGACTTTTATGATTTTTTATTACTTAAGAATCCCCACTTGTTATATTATTATAGAGTGTATTATAAACTTTATGATGATCATAGAATATCTAGTGCTCTCTAGCTCGTATTTTCTTCATGGTTGTTAATTGGTAGACGATAGATATCTCATTAGGATTAGTAAGGTAAGACCTAGCCTCCCCTGCTTGTACTTATTCCTATTGAGAATTTTTTATGTTTATTATTAATAAAAATCCACTAAACCACTGTCTAGTGGTATAAATTTGCTCAAAAAAAAAAAAGAAAAAAAAAATATATAAGTGCACCATAATAATAAAAAAGAACATAATATATTCAGTTGAAAATGCTTCCTAATCCTCTAGTAGATAACTTAATTTTGACTGAAGTGCATTATTTGATTTTTTTATAACATAAATATCAAAAAATAAAATTATTTTAATTTTAACACACCTGACGCCACCGTACGGAGAGATGAATTCACTTGATATGAGTAAAAGAGAGAATTAATAAATATTTAATCCTTCAACACTAATTATTTACAAATGCTTAATATTTTGTACTACTCCTATTTATTCAAAACTTACCTATCAGAAGTCTTTTTCATTTCTTAAGTTTTGCATCCAATCAATTCACTACTGTATGATGATAACTTGCTTTCAAGACCAAGAAAAGTATGTTTTCTTTATAACCACATTTAGTCTAGATATTTCATATCTGTTACATTAACGCTACGTTTGGTACGGTTTTTCCAAATATTTTTGACAAGTTATATTTTTGGTGAAGTTTTAATATGCACAAGTATAATCATAACAAATTTCAGATAATTATAAGTTTCAAAATTTTAAACGTCTTTCTTAAATTGCATTACGTATTAATAATTGGAAAAACTACCTAACTAGGCATACATTCCTACTATATATACTAATATTATCTCTACTTTTAAACAATTACATATATTACCACTTTTAATATTTTATACCATATATTTTAAAAAATATAATTAGATACACAAATTCCTTGAAACTAGGATTACTTAATTATCTTAACATTTTAAAAATTAAAATTAATTATCGCCAATTAGAGTTGTTAATTAAGCCTAAATTACTTCTTTATTTAAGGAAATTAGTTACACACATTTAATCCAAATAGTAAAACATGTATCTCTTTAATTCAAACAGTCAAATACATGTATATGACGAGTAATGATACATGTATCCGACGGACAAAATATGGTATAGGATGTAATTTTCAAAACTATCTTGAATCCTAGTAATTAGGTACTAAACTAATGGGATTTATGTAGTTTGCTCTTAATAATTTCCTCTCACCTCTCAAAATCAACCCAAAAATAACCAATTTCTTTTTTTCATGAGATGAATATATTTACAAAAACTCAAAATCCAAAGTTAATGAGAAAAAAAAATCTTTTCTATATGTCAAAGTTAGCTGAAGAGAGATGCAGATATTCATGAAAACTTAATTAAGATGTGCATAAATTGACTTGTTATTAAAAATTTAGGCTTAAATCATATGTATTCCCTTAAAGTAGTCCGCATAATTTACTTAGACACCTCAACTAGGACTAGTATATATTGGACACTTTTATTTACTCAAAACTTGTTTCTATTAGGCATTTTCCGACAATAAGTAAAAAAAAAAAAAGTGTGTATAATACACTTGCTGTGATGTGGCAAAATGACTAATTAAAAGGTAACATGTGGCATTTAGGCCCAACAAGTATAGAAAAAAAAAAGAATTTTATGTTAAAAAGAGTGAAAATTATTTCAAATAAATTTTCCATCTATTTTTTTTGTAAAAATAAAAAAATGAGAGCCCAACCCTAACCCAACCCCCTTTCTTCTTCATCTTCTTCCTAGCAAGATTTTCTTTCTCAAAGGACAAAATTCAATTTCTTTATTAATTACTTACATAATTATTTTATATTCCTTATACGTGAGAGAGATATATTCAAAGAGACGGATACAAGAGTGATGAAGAAAGAGAGTCTGTCAATTGTCTTGAGATCGATAACAAAGAGAAATCGAGAGGACCTAAATTAATTTTATTGAATCAATATGATATTATGTTTGATAATTTTAGTGGATTTATATTTTAATTTGAATGATAATATTTGCTCGAAGGTGACCGAGATCGACGTCGATCGACTAACTTTTTTCATGTTCTTTCTTCTTTTTTTCTTTCAAATTTAATTAGCTGATTCAATTTTTATTTTTTAATTAGTATTGAAAAGAAATAGAATAGAAAAAAAACGGAGGCAGTGGTCTTCTCCGTGAAGAAGATGACGTACAGGGGTGGGGTGGGGGCTTTTTCTTTTGTTTTAAGAATATTTATTACTTTTAAATATATATTTTTTTAATTAAATTATTTAAATGTCAAGTGGCACTCAAAGAAGAAAAAGTATTAAGTTTTTTTTGGAAAAAAATAAAAATAAAATATTAATACGTTTTTTCACGCGCTCAGCGAAAGTGTAGTACACTTCTTTTGCCACATCAACATTTTGTGTTTAATAGGTATACTTTTTCAACAATTCAAGTGTTCAATATGTAATAGTTATAGTTAAGATGTCTAAGTAAAATATGCGGACAATTTTAAGGGGCTGCAGATGACTTTGGCCAAAAATTTAAATGAAAGAAATACTTACCACCATAAGAGGCTTGATGGTTGTACCAAATCCAGACCCATCATCTTCACATTGATCAAGAAGTATATCCAAAAAATCCCCTTTTTTCTTCATCCCTGCAGCTCTAGCTTCTACTCTCTTCTCAATATTTTCTTCAAATATCTCATGCAGCCTTAAATACGCTGGCCTTATACGCCTCCGTACTCCTTGCAAATCTAGCCACTTTAAAACCGGAAAAAAATCCGACAGATTCGGTATCCCGGCATCTTCCATAATCGTCCATACCAATTCCTTAAACTCATGAGCCTTTTTAAATTCCGGATCCACCATATCGATCGAAAAAATCGTGTTCGATATTAAATTCAACGTGGTCGCGAACGCGACCCGTCCAATATCAACAGCCGATCCACTCTCACACTGGCTCCTTATATGGCTCACTAGTTGTTCCGCCTTTTGGTGACGAAGTTCTTGAAGCAAATCAAGCCGTTGATTATTAAACATTTGCGTACTGAGAAACCTTCTCTTTTTTTTCCACATATGATCGCCGTTAACCCATGCCAACGTGGCTTCAGGGTTCGGCTGAGCAGCTACGGCTACTGGGACGATACGTGCTGAGAAAGTTTCGTCGTGTTTGTGGAGAATCTCTTTGGCTACTTCGGCTGATGAGACTACTATGGTGGTGAGAGAGCCGAGCTGTAGAGTCATGAGAGGGCCATGTTTTTTGGCTAGCTCGGCTAGTGATTGGTTAGGTTTTGTACCTAGTTTTAAGAGTGAGCCGATTATTGGGAGACCAGTAGGACCTGGTGGTAGTTTTTTGGATTTAGAATTGATATATGGCTTGATGAGGAACAAGAAAAATGAGATAAAGATAATAAAAAGAATGAGGAGTTCCATATTTTTGCTAAGCTTGGGACATGATATGCAAAAGAATGATGTATGTACATACACTCTATATAGTGTAGACTTAGCTAATGATTGAGGGTAGTTAGGAAATTTTATCATGTTTAAATATTTGCACGTTGTGGAAACTTTCACTCATTAACTTTTTATTTTTTCTAAGTAAAATATTTATCAAGTAAAATATAATTGGTTTGATTTGGTTATTTTGCGGTTATTATTTAGTAAAATCAAAACCAAACCAAATAGTATCGGTTATCAAAATTTAAAATTAAGCATAACCAAATCAATCAAATATAGGTTTTTTAAATCGGTTTGGTTCAGATTGCATTTCGTTTTGATTTTTAATCATAACCATGAACAGTCCTATCTCTATCTCAGTTTTAGTCGCATTTTTCAGGTATATTGAGAGTTGAAAAACTTTTGTATTGCAATTTTTTCAAATTTTATTTTATTAAATTATTAATTATTGTGACTTATTATATTTTTTTTATGTTGTTTCATAAATGTTAATTTTAAAAATAAATAAATTAAAGCTTCTATATTCAAATTCACTGTCAAAAGTAGAAAACTTAACTCTTTAATATTTGAACTATGTTATTATATATATAAATTGGGATATATAAAATAATACACCATCAATATATATAAATATCATTTCAATACCAAGTCCTGTTTTATTTTCCAACTTATAAAACATCATATTTTAAAAAAGCTTAATTTGGATGATATAATTATATAAACAATTGTGTACACCAATATGTATATGACTTAAAAGATAAAACTATATTGGAATATTCATGGGACCGGAATCATGAAATGTGAGTGCACGACGACTGGTTAGTTGTAGTGACCAAATATTATACCTTCAACTTGCTGACTCGTGTGACGTGTCTTCTTGTTATGTAATTCTCTGAAGTTGGAGTATGTAAATTATATTTCTTTCGTTTCAATTTATGCAAAATAATTTGATTAAAATATATAAATAAGTGAAGTGAGTTGAGAAAATAATTAAGTTTCGAGAACAAGTCTAGGAAGAAAAGTCTTGAAGCTGACTGTTTGCATGTTTGACAACGTGGCCCACTTGACACATGCCCCATTATTACAATTAAAAAAACGTAAAATTTTGATGTGAGTATCTTATAGAATGATATATAAAGAATAGGAGAATTTAGATATTTTGGGGAGTTAATCGTTTTTGTTTTCTTTTATAAAAAGATTATACATTGATTTTTTAATGTAAATTTTTTCATCATATTGTTCTACTAATTAATGGTCCGTAATAATTATAATTTTCTCTTTCTATATATATATATATATATATATATATATATATATATATATATATATATTTTATTTTATTTTTTAAAAAAAGTAAAAAAATGTTATTTTTTTAAATCACTTTGTTCTATTCATGTATTTCTCGTTATAATAATCAAATTGTTTGCATTTACTTCGTAATTTAATTTATATTTTTATCTTGATTGTCAAGAGTGCATTTTCATGTTCAAAATAACTCATGTTTTTTAATTGATTATTTTTATTTAAATCAAACATCATCAAGACATAGTATATTGCAGCTAAATTTTTAACTTTTTACCCAAAAAAAATCGTTGAAACGAATTTATCATATTTATTAGTAATGATTAAATTCTTAGATAATGCAAACATTTTTTTTGAAGGATCCTATATATAACTAGATCAATTTTTTATATTATCATATGTTTTCTAAAAGTCGACCAAAACGACACTGCAAAAATAAAAATAAAAAGTTAAATTGATAAAAAATTGACTTAATTAATTTAACTTGATTTCAACATTTGAAAAAAAACAAATTATTAATTTAATTGGAAAATGGTCCAAACTAAATCACGGCTAATCCTACCAAAAATATTAAGTTTCAACTTTTGATAAATAAATATAATTCATACAAAAAAAATAAAATTTCAAAAAAGAAAACGGAAAAAAAAAGAAGAAAATATGGAATAGGAGAAAGTGAATAAAAAGATGAAGCCTTTTACCCCTAATTTTTGTAGTGGGACCCAAACTACACTTGATAAAGTATGAGAGGATCTCATACAAGTATGGTCTGTCATGTAATATTTGTGCCTCTCACATGATAAATTATTTCTATTATCATATAGTTCCATGTTTTCTATCTTGGTGGCTAAAATTTTAAATTAAATTTTTACTATGGTAAGACTCAATTCATTTTATTTTTCAGTTCTTTCATTACATTTTTTGTTTGTTAGGGTTTTGTTTTGATTTTCTTATTTAATTTTAAGTTTATTTTTTTTCTAAAATATTACCATAAATATTTTAACTTTTTTTGAAAGAAAAATATAATTTTCTTCCATATTTGACTTATTCTTTCCTTAGAGGAAAAGTTTGGAACTCTATAAATTGAAGATCTCTTCTCTCATACCAAAAACACAAGAACATCCACAATATAGTTAATAAAGAGTTTTGTTTATGGGGAGATTTTCCTTCAACAATTTTAATATTTTTTTTATTAGTTTCTTCATATGTAGGCCAATTGGTTAAACCATATAATAATATTATGTTTTTAATCTAAGTTTTTGTCATCTGATTTATCAATATCATGATTTGCAATTGTAAATTTTCACATGACGCCCTAATCACCTTCGAACCCCATAAGTGGTATCAGAGCACATGGTTTAATGATCCAATGGTTCAACAAGATTGAAGACAAATTCAAGTGGTTTCAAATCAATTTGCAATCAACGTGATGATAATGAAGATTTTTGTGCTACTACATGTGGAGAAAAATTCAAATATATTTTCAACAATATCCTGCTGCTCCATCCTTTAAAACAAAATCATTTTTCAACTCATGCTTACTTTAGAGCATGAACTCTAACTTTCAACCCCTACAAAGTTTAATGCTCGGGCTTCACTTTTAACTCATGTATTTTTGCTTTTAACGCTTGAACTCCACTTTTAACTCATTCATCTTACTTTTAACGCATTAGCTCTACTTTCAACTCATGTATATTACATTTAATGCATGAGTTCCACTTTCAACTCCTGCTCATAACTTTTAACACATGACTCCAATTTTTAACCCATATCAATTTTTAAATCATGGTAAGCAACAGTGATACATGAAAATTTTGTGAAGAACAAAGATTATCAAACATGTGAAGAAGGCGGATCAAGTTTTGTCAAGAAAATACAGCAAAAAGGGGAGATTTGTTAGGATTTTGCCCTTTCTTGCTTACCTTATTTGAAATTTATATTTTCCTAAAAGAAAAGACAAAACATTACCATATATGTTTTAACTCTTCTTGAAAGGAAAATATAATTTTCTTCCATATTTGGTTTATTCTTTCCTTAGAAGAAAAGTTTGGAACTCTATAAATTGAAGACTCCTCTTCTCATACCAAAAACACAAGAACATCCACAATGTAGTCAATGAAGAGTTTTGTTTATGGGAGATTTTCCTTCAACAATTTTAATATTTTTTTATTAGTTTTTTTCATATGTAGGCCAATTGGCTAAACCATATAATAATAATAATAATATGTTTTTAGTATAATTTTTTGTCATCTAATTTATCAATATCATGATTTGCAATTATAAATTTCCACATGACGCCCTAATCACTTTCGAACCCAACAGTTCGATGGTCCCAATTCATTATTGATTCATGTAATATGTAGTTGTAAAAACTCAAATTTGGCATTAGCTCGTAACTAAATATTTTAACTTTTAGTATGTACATTTAAAATACTATGTTTAAAATTTATATCTCACGTCATTATAGTGTTTACGACTTTGAATGTTTAGTTATCAAGTAAGACAAAATTGAGGTGTTTAGATGTGTATTTTCAAAATTAGTAGGATTATTTATCAGTTAAAATCAAATTTAAGTATTTATTTAACTTTTATGTCCATAATTACTTCATGCACGCAATATTCAATTAATTACTTCCTCTGGTCCCTTATATTTGTCACTTCAAAATTTTAAGAAGTATTAGTTGTTCCTATCGAACTCCCAGAAAGCGTATTGTAACTAATTGATCAAGTAATGAAAATATTATAAAAGGGGTTATTTAGCCAAAATATATCTCTCTGTACCTAATTATTTGCCAATTTTTTTTTTCTTGTCCATATTGACAAATTAAAAAAGGATAATTTTTTTTTTACATATTATACCCTCAATTAATTACTTTGAAAAAGGTAGAGTTTCTCGAAAATCTTAAATTTTTAATTCATCCACTTCATAATTAATAGGGATAAAATGATAAACTCACTATGTCAATCATTATTTTTTCAATAAGTGTGCCATCAAAACTGGAAAAGTAATTACGACATGAGGAGTACCTTTTTTTGGTTAACCAAAATATAACCTTTGGTTAAAAAAATATACTCGTATATTTATTTAAATAAAGGGCGTGGTAAACTTTAAACCACAGATAAAAAAAATTCTGAGAGAACAATTAAAATGTGTATATTGATCCTTTTATGTAAAATTAAAGTTATCTAAGGAGTAATATGTAAACTATTTTTGTAAAAATACTATGTGCAAAATATTGAGCAACAATAATTAATAATAATAAAGAAAACATAATACGTGAATATTTACATTTTTATGATTAGTAATTCATTATATCTGAATAAATTCACAAGTAAATGAGGGATAAACATACTTTTCACTTTTAAACTTTCTGTTTTTAACCAAATCTATATCAAAAAGACAAAATATTAGTATTTTGGTTTATCAATAATTGTGAGTAGGTACGTAGTTTGCTATTTTTTTATTCGATTAATTCTATTGGTCGAAATGATGACTTTCTTAGCCTATTTCTAAAGAACGAATTGATCATATTGTATTTGTTAAGCATATGATTAAAGTAGCAAGATTAGACCTTCTTATCACTTTGTCGACTAGCTATAAACATCAATTCCCCTTCTCTTACTTAGATAGAGAAATAAGTAAGCAAAACTTTCATCCTTCTTTTTTTATTTTACTTAAAATTG